CAGGAAACACAGAATGGCTGGAGAGGAAAAGAAAGTGTTGGAGCAATTAGAACAGGTCAGCCTGCAGCAAAGTTTCAGGCAGAGCAGCACAAAGGCAGGCTTTCCCCCAAAGATATATAAGCAAGAGAAGAACCCATGGAGAGCAGAGATTGGGGCAATAAAAATCAATGTGAGAGTGCCCAAGCTAGCATAGGCTTCTTAAGCAACGTGGGGCAAATCACTTCAGCTCTTAATTTCTGACAAGGGAGGAGGCTCCGGCCTTACAAGGCTTGTCACAAGGGCTGGTTCTTCAGCATAGTGCCATCTGTCATGGTGTAGGATTGTCAAAACTGTATAAAGTGACTGCTTCCACATAGCCCTTTGGTAACGGCTCTGCAGTCCACCAGGGAACAGCTTCCCACTTTCCTCCCACTCCAAATAATCAAAGGTCTTGCTTTCCTATCTCACCACTCCTTACTAAATCTCTTTTGCATGCGTTTCACCTAGAGGTGGTAGATGATCTTAAAGTTCGTCAGGGGGACAGCTCAAGCCCAGGGTTAAGCTTCTCTTCTACTCTCTTTCTGAGCAGAAGCTGGCCAGAAAAAGATCTAACCTATAGCATCCCACTCAAGCCTGGTCTTCACCTCCAGCTCCACCATTGACTTAAAATCTGTCCAGAGACTCCCAGGCCCAGGATCTTTTTGATCCCCCCCATCTGCTCAGCTCCTGCACCACTTATGGAAGGAAACCCCAAGGCCAACAACTCATTGCAAGTTCTGCTCACAGCAGGGGCAGACGTTGCTGGACCCAGCTGAGCTTTGAGGCTGCTCCATGTGTTCCCTCTCCACATAGGTCAGAAGGAATTCCTTGCCCCCCTGGCAGCTAATAAAAAACCACATCCCTCTCCCTCTGGATCATGTGTTTATGTCTGCCCTGGTCTGTGTGTTTCCGCATGTCCTCCTGGGATCTCTGGAATTTAACCCAGGTTCCAGCATCTGGTCCTAGAACTGAAATGGAGAAGAGAATCCAATAGGGTCATAGCAGCATTACACTAGGAAGCTGGAGATAAGAAAATTTGACCCGAAAATTAACTCTTCCTCTACGAAGGAAGAGTCAGGAAGTTTGGCAGAAAGATGGAGGGCATTCAACAGTTGGTTTGCCCTGCAAGCTCAGACACTGAGAGGGAAGCGTGCACATCTGTGCATAGGTCAACTGATCCACCTTCAGTCCCCTGGGGATGCCTTCTTACCAGTCCCCCAGGGGAAACTTTCCTTGGTATAAATTTGCAGGTTTCAGGCAATTGGAACAATCATGAAAACAGCTCCTTATTCTTACACGTAAATCTGTGGATAGGAATCACTGGTATGCTTGACAATACCATTCAGTCCAGCCAAGTGGCTCTAATCAAGCTTATCTTGAACCAAGAAAATATATTCTCTGCCAGAAACTCCTCTGGAATCAGGGATCTGAGACATGCATAAGGCACTGTTCTTTCATTCAAAATAATCCAGGCTTTATTTCCTATCATCTCCTGCTCCCTTTTCCTTCTGTCACCTCCTTTTTGTTTTTCTACATTCCAGACCTAATCTCTTATCTGCTAAAAGCTGGCCTCAGCTGATTTAACATCCCCTTCTGGCCCCTTAAACTTGCATGAACGCTCCTCACTCCCATCCTGCTGTATAACTGCGACCTTCCCTGTCTGTTAATCTGATCGTGACTTCCCATCTTCATCTTCTCCCTTAGCTTCCCTGCCTGCTGCCGCCGAATGCAGTGCAAGCCTCATACCTCTGTGGTCTCTCAGAGGAGCCAAGCAGTCATGGGTCATAGCTGATTTATTGGGTATGAAGAGTGATGAAAAAGCATGCAAATGCAGCAGGATAAAGCCTTTGCAAGAGACAATGGAGCTGAGCAACGCTCACAAAGCTGACCAAGCCTAGAAGGGGAGAAGGGATGCTGGAGCAGGGCCCTTTGGCATTACTGACAGTAAAGTACTTATGTTAGACACCTTGAAGGTCTCACCCAGCCCCATGATGCTGACTTGAAAGCTACGAACCAGCTCATGATCAGTTCCCTGTTGGTTTTAGATTTTAAGACTCATTTTATATCAGTCACTATCCCCACAGATTCATACAGAAGCATAAACCTTGAAAAACTCCTAACATATGACTCTGATTTGCAGAACCTCTCTGGCCTCAGACATTTCAGTAACAACAAAACCCACTCCTGGATGTTTCAGATGCTTCCTACTGGTGGCAGAAGTGTGACTCACCACCATTCTCCCTTGAATACAAGCAGCTATACCCTGCAAACCACCTTTCATAAAACCTCTGGGCAACTTTATACCTATGGTGCACACCTCAGTAGCTGAGGTAGATTTCCAAGGGTGACAAGCAATTTATGGCAGAGCTGAGAGCAGCATGCAGGAGTCTGGATTTAACCTCCAACCTTTACAGACTCTATGAAAGACACCAGACAGGGAATCCATGATAAACAACAGCAGCTTG